TTATGAACAAACTGATCAACTGAATTTAGTGTTCTGTCTTGAATTTATTGGACCCTCTGGAGACACCCAACATTTTGTTTTATAAAAGAGAGGACATTGTTAGATCAAGATCTTCAGATGATGTGGTGCTGTAGGTTTTTCCGGGTTTTCCTGCAGTTGAAAAAGCAAATGCGCCACTGTAATCAATGAAGTCGCCCCGGAGCACAAATTAATTTTTGTTGCTTTATAATATCATGATTTGTATTACTTTCTTCTTTAATAAGTATACCCAACTATGCCAAAAAAAAATAGGTACCTACCTATATAAACAGTCTCAAAATTAATTTATAAACTAAAAACATCGATACCGAATAGCACACCTTGATTTTTCATTGTAAATTGATGCAACTGCATATTTCAGCATATTTTCGCCAACTTTTTTTAATAGCTACTACCTCCCCTTTCGATTTGACTATTCAATATTGTCAAAAATAAAGATAATTTACTCTTGAACAAAATTTATATTTTTTGACACACCTCCTACGTGCCCGCCCGAAAGAGTTTGACAACCGATCGTCGCTTTTCAGGTTTCAGTTCAGGCCATTTCTCAAATTCATCGGTGAATCCACCGATCGATCCGATGTATTCATCTATTGATCCAAACGTTAGAGCATTTCATAATTTTTCTATCGATTTTAAGAACTCACCTGTTTTGCAGAACATCTTGTGAAAATTGATTATAAATTCACTGGGATATAGTATATTGTGAGAGTCACATTTGAGGTTAGGAAACGGAAGTGTCATTTGTCACAAATAATTTTGGCAACCAAAAACATTTGTCTCTAGTACATGAAGATAAATAGTATATTGTACAACAAGTGAGAAATATTCATTTTCTCTGTACACTGTACTTTTTCTACGGTTGCGTTGTTTTCAAGTATTGAACATTAAAATACACATATAATAATAGTTGTATGTCATTAACTCATTTTTATATTTGATTTAAAATAGTAATTAACAGTTATATTTGTTTCAACAAGTTTTCGGTAATTGAAATATTAGCTGCGGTCGAAGTTGAAGTTAATAGAGAAACGTACTGAACTTCCACAGCATTTTTGTGTTCAAGTTCTAATGGTGCTGGAGGCTGAATGGAATCTACTATAATTTTTGAAATTTTCATTTTGTCAGCTATGGAGTTGTCGATATAAGATTCAGCAACATTGCTGGATTTCCAACCCCCATGGCGATTTAAAGTTAAAAGATCTGCCCCTGAATTAACTAAAATAGTCGCAGATGACCTTCGGAAACAGTGGCTAGTATATAATTCAGAGTTCGGTCATTGCAAAAATTTCGGGTAAATTTTCGTTTAGAGGGCACCTGGCGATGTTGAAAAAAATTTTGAGTGTACTTACGTATTTTGATGCGTAGATTACGAATCCGAAAGAAAAAAGCGGCGCTATCCCTTATTTACAAAGTTACGGCCCTTCAAAGTTCAGAAAAGGGCGACTTTTCAGCCTTCTTTTTCACAAAATAAACTATTTAAAAACACAAGCATTTATTCACTAGGTCACCGGTACACCTTATTCCTCCTTCTTTGACACTTTTCACTTCAATAATCAACATTTTTCCAATAAAAATGTTAAAAAATATACGGAGCTGCTTTTTGGTTACATATCTCTGTATTTTACGTTTTTAAG